TGTGGTAATGGTAAGAAATGTATACGATTTAATGGACCGAAACATTCCCTGCCATTATAATAATTCTACTACTTTTACTAATTTCATAATTCTTATTTCGGAATTTTCTTTTCGATTCTTCTTCCTTTTTCAGTACGCCTTGCTTTTTCAACAACAGAGCTTACAGCAGCACATTGAGGCTGAACACTGTTTCAAATGTTTGCAACATTGCGAATGCGGGAAATGCAAGATCAACATCACAATCAACTGCGGTACTGAACAGGAATGTATACGACTTAATGGAACGAAATATTCCTGTTTATTTGATTACTTTTTAATAAAGTTTTACAATTTAAAAAAGATTTTATACTTTTTCGTCAATTATGATTAGTAAAGTTATTATTATTGATAACTTTACTAATCATAGTTAACAAAAAAGTTGCCAGCTGCATAGGAAGTGACACTTAAACTGCCGATTAACAATTGAAACAAATTTTTGAAGCCTAATAACTAATACTTAAGCGAAAAAGATTACCCTTTTCGTTCGTTGTCACCATAACTTCCAATATTTCTAAACCAGCGTGAAATATTCGCATATTTGGCATTTGGCGCGGAGCCAAAATGACGGAAAAGTGCCACATCTTCACCGGATGGTGTATACCTGCAAATAATACCCAAAACTGAACAACAACTACAGCAGAGGTGCACACGGGCCCTGGAAGGAATGGTCAAAGCAAAACGTTTGTGATCAATGACCAACCAAATATTTTGGACAGCCCAGAAAGAGAGAAGAGAAATTAGAAGATATTAATGTTTTTGTTCGGAAAGGACCTTCATTCTTTATTTTTTACAAAAACTGGCGTTTTTTCCTGCAAATCCAGGGATTTTCCGATGAAATTTCTTGCAAAAATCGAGTCAAAACTCTCTCGGTACCTGCACTTTTAAATGAATGTTCCACGCCCTTGTGCGATCCCGTAAAGCTAAATTCAATCTTCACGTAAGTCAGGACATCACATACGGCCTCTTAAAAGATCTGGGAGGAAAAATTATTATCTCGGGAACCAGAAAAGCTAGAAAGCTGAAACCATACAGTGATGTTCCCTGTTCACGTGCGGTCCGGCAGACTGGAATCCAGATTTCACGCACACCTAGTTTTGTGTGGACGTATCTGCGGGAAAATTTGCTAACTCAGGAACTTGAACAGCTAGAAGGCTGAGATTTCAGGGTGATGTTTTCTGCTTATGCAAGGGTTCACAAACTCAAATTTAGCTCCCATGCATATACTGAGGTCTCACGCGCGGACATGTGAAAGTTTTGGCGCGAAAAATACTTGAAGGCCAGAAAGATAGGAGACTGAAATTTTGAAAGAATGTTTCTCGTTCATGTGCAATCCGAAGGTTGTTTTAAATTCAGTTTTCAAGTATGCTTACTTTTTACGTAGCAATGAAAATTTTTAATGAGAAGTTTCTTTGGAGCCAGAAAACACATTTACTGTTTTTTCGCACACCAAAGTGTAAAACTTTGTGAAAATTTTTAGCAGGCAAACGTTCGCTGGACGGAACTGCGTGAAATGCATGATCGCATTGGCTAGTCTGGTGCGCGCTAACTTTTTTTCTCGGACAGCTTCCCCTCTCTTCCCTCTCTGATTCGTAAGTCATAATTTAACATGTGAACGAAGTGGATTTCATGCTGTGATAAAAATGCGGTAAAATGTGTTACCCTGTGGCATATGGAAAATCCTTTAGGTGCTCATCAAACGATGCCAAGCCAGCATCGGTTTTCAAATCGAACATTCTCGCTGCGCCTGTTCACCACCAAGTAACCCTGAAATTCAGGAATATCAGACTGCAGCTTTTTGCAGCTAAGGGCAGAAAAACGCGATTTTATCTCATTTCGCTTAACTGGACCTTAAAACAGGTCTGCACTGCAAAAAAAGGCCTTTGATGGTCAGGAATGGGCCAGATCTCTCCACAACAACGGGCCTTTAATAACCAAAAACAGGTCGGCCCCGCCTCGAAAGTAGGCTTGTAATGACCAAAAGTAGGCCAAACCACTCCGTAAAATAGAAAGTTCTAATAAAAAGGAATGAAAGGAAAGAAAAAAAGAAAACAAAAGATGAAAAATGAAAATTAGAAAATTCACGAGATTGTTATAAGGCGTTTCGGTCCGTTAATTCGTATACATTTCTTACCATTACTACAATTGGACAATAAAAATTGGCTCACAGTAGTTTAGCCCGTAGTTCTGTGGGTGACAATTGCTCATTACGAAATCTGTACTCTCATATAGGGTACAACAATCTATTCTGGTGTAAGTGATATTATCAAAGCAATGTACACCAAAATAGAGAGTTAGGCTAAAACAAAAATGAGAGACAACAGATGGACAAAGCGAATTATTGAATGGTACCCCCACATAATGTTAGCAGCAAGGAAAGACACGGATAGAGTGGAAGGAACAGTTTGAACGGCCACACGGAATTATACGCCAAAGAAATAAGGCAAAATAGAGAAGAATGGAGAAATTGCCAGCTGCTCCATCAGTATTGAGAAGAAACGTGATGATGAAACAACAGGGATGGCCGAAGTATCAAAATATTTATAAGTGGCTAGCACTGAGGGAACGTGGAGGATCAACGAGATTCTTGGAAAATCACAGCTAATCCAGACTACCGGCTGAATCACAGTCAGAATAACCACCACCCTGTTACGACGATTGTTCGGACGATGGTACGACGATATTCGGATGGTATTTGGATGAATGATGATGTTGCTGCCTATGCTTGGTGGAGACGCTGAGATAACCAAACGAACTTTATCAACACAATAAAAGTTCACAGTTTACACTTGGGTTGGTTGGGCTAAGGAGGACGAAATGCAGCGATACCGTAGCCAACGGAGAACGCTGAATCCAGCCTACCTGCTGAATTATTTCAATCAGAATAAACCAGCCCCCCCACAACCACCGAAAAAGAGCCACGAAATTCCCTCAGAATAACTCCCCGTGTACCGTATTCTCGATGAAACCCAAGAGTGCTGTTGCAGCCAACTCTGATTAATTGGCTTGCGGTAAATTCTGGTATTGGTTTGTGTCGACAATTACCGATTGATGGAGGTCACTAGGGGGACACTGACCACTTGTCAAGGCATCTAAGCAAGTAACGTAATGACCGGCTTTCGTAGGACAGCTTTACCTAAGCATCAGTTTCATAAATACGAGAGCCTAATGACGGGCTTTTGTGGGACAGCTTTACCTAAACATCAGTTTCGTAAACAGGAGAGCCTGATGACGGACTTTTGTGGGACTGTACGACTGGAGAGTCCCACAAAAGTGCTGCGGTGCTTTTTCACCGTGACGTTCCTTCTTAGTTTCTCCAGTTTGCCCAAAATCCGATATAATCCCTTCTGTCATGAAATCACCGCGTTCGTGGGGGTGGTATTTGAAATCCAGGGCTGGCCAAAAAGACTCTCAGATGGAGCAGTTCGCTCACACACACACACACACACACACACACACACACACACACACACACACACACCAGACCAGAGTAGCAGTACTTCTTCAGTGGAAATGTGTGCAACTTGCTGACAACAGAGCGGGACTTCGTTCCATGGACTCATTTTGTTGGGTCATCTTTAACTTTTTCTTTTTAGCAACTGTGGTATTCCATGTTTTACTTCCATCTGGTAATTACAATCGGATTGAAAAGTATCGTTTTTATAGTCGATGTGTTAGTGTTTGGAAAAGATGTCTCGCAACTGCTGTGAAGAGAAGACTATCCATTCTGTTCCTTTTTCACTTCTGCTTGGGTCCATGCTATGCCCAACTTAATGAACCGAAATGTCTTATCTCGCTCTCACCTCCCTTATTCTACACTACTACTTTCTCCTAACTCCTTCACACTCTGCCATCTGGAGGAAGCTCCAATTTGCAGAGATAACCTGGAGGAAGCAGAGTTAACCTAGAGGAAGCTGCAATCTGCTTGTAACTGTGACAGACAACAACGCGGCGGTATTTTTGTGGGAAACTTCCTGAACTGAATTTCAGCTGTTTTTTTCTTTTTTTTCAGCTATGTAACAACAGTGAGCCCCAGGATTTGCTAATCCATAATTGTGGCGATTTCGTTGCTTCGTGTGCCCGACCATCTGCTGCTGCTGGCCGGCATGGAGGAGGAGATTGGGTACTGGAAGCAGAATCTCTATCTACTCCAGGAAGCTGCACCACGACCATTTGCTGTTCGATGTACGACGACGTTGCCGGATTCAGTACCACCACAGGTAATGGATGCTGCCTAGTCAGTGTTTTCAGCTCAAAATTTTGACAGGCAAGCTACTACCAAGTCACATTTCCAACGGCCGTAATTTATCATTTCCATAACGCACACCTTTCGAATAATGATTTTCGATTGTGTTGAAATTACTGATGTTGCAGTATGGAGCTGAATTTCATGGTTTAATTGAGCGGGAAACTGCGGAAAGTATGCTGTTGGAGGCTGGCGAAGGAGCATTTCTGGTCCGCGCATCCAGACGTTCACCAGGAGCCAACACGCTATGCATGCATTTCGATGGACGTGTCCTCAACTACAAACTCTTCTACGATGGAATGCATTATGTCGGCGAGAAAAGGTCACCAGAGTGAATTTTTGCGCCCACTAATACGAAACGATACGTTTACACATCGTACAGGACTGAATCGCTGTAGCTTGGGGATCGGGAATGAGGAATGTGTAATAGATTGTGCCTTTTTTCCCCAGAAAATAACTAGTTCATGGTTTTTTGACAACTCATATCTCATGTTTTTTCGGTAAATATCGAACATGCAAGGGTAAGATATCGAACGCTTTAGGGAAAACATGCAAAAAATTTTATGGTCCAGCACTTTTATAGTTACTTTTATATTAGTTAAAGTAATTTTACGCCTTTTCCCCGATTTAACTTAATATTTCGATACAAGTTTGTTGCGAATTTCTGACATAGCTGCGCCCGGCGAACGGAAACGCCATCCAGTAACATCACTAACACGGGATATCCGCACTAACTGTACTCTCGATTTTGCTATTTTCCCATATTTATAGTTTTTTTAAACATACAAAATATAACTCGTATTAAGAAAAAAAAAATTAACTGAACAGGAATATTTTGGTCCCTTAAGTCGCACACGCAATCTTACCCAGCACCACAGTTGAAAAAGTGAACGAGTTTAAGTGTCACATATGTGTTTTTTTGAGTAACGAGTTTGTGTGTTTCAGATTTGAAGAGCTGGAAGATCTGGTTGCAGATGGTTTAATAACAATGCATATGGAGAAACATGCGAATGATTACATACAACGTATGGCCGATGAAGCAATCTACGAGCAAAGCCCCTACTCGCAGTACCAA